CAGATATGTGGGCACAGTAACCAACGGGACAGTAAACAGTGCCCGCGTGAAGCACTTGCGTGCTGATTCCAAAAGCTACATTTCCTCACCTCGGGATTCGCACCATATGGGGCGCAGTAGAAAGGAGACATTGCAGGAAAACAGCATTATTCTCTTAGCAGCGCAACTCTCCAAGATATGAAAACTTAAAAGCGCGCCATATTTTGCGTGGCGGGGGAAAAAAATACTCGATTAGGGCGACATGAAAAAGGGCAAGGTGTCTCATATGGTAGCAGTGATGAGAGTCAAGCCTCCAACTGGCCGGAAGGGCATAAGAGACCCGCCTAGCTATTGCCACACACACACATTCATGTGTTGCCTGTTATTTCACTCAAACGTAACAGGGTAGTTCATTTGTGGAAGCTCAGCCTATTGCTACTGAAGACTCGCAGCGGATTTCTTTCCAGAAAAAAAAACATTGCATCCGGACACAACCCACAGGGAAACAACGTAACCACGGACTTAACAGTATCAGCCTGTTATAGCCGCTGCGCGTCCACGCAATCGTAAGAAACAAGTCGGCTATAAAAAAAACACCCAAACAGCACTAGCGGCCTAAGAAGACTGGCTATTGTTCCATACGGCCAAAAACAAGCATTATGCGCGCGGGGGAAAGTCTAATTGTGTGGCAAAATAAGATTGAGCCTGAGGATATTGGACCAAGAAAGAGGACGGAAGAACAAAAGAGAACACCTATCAGGCCAAACTGCAGTTGTAATGGATTGTGCCATTGGTTGGAATACGACAAAGTCACTGCCCTGGGACAGTTCCTCACCACTCGAACGGGAATTATGTCCTTTCTTGGGAGATTTGTTGGTATATATGGGTAGAGGGACTCTACCTACGTCCAACATCCTAAAAATATCAGGCCCGCTATATAGCAAATATTTTGAAATGCTCCTTGACTGCGATAGCGGGAAATGTATGTTGTTCCTGAGGCCTAGCAGTATAATAAAAGTTTCATAGTGGCGAAAGTATGCCAATTCTCAAGTTGCGGCTCATTCAACGAGACTCCGCCACACATTCAAACTTGATGAGGCAAGAAGTGATAATCGTGTGAGTCGAAAATTACTTGAGTCATGGTTCACGGGCCCCGAGTCCATTAAAAAATGCAACGGCTTGCCCATATTCGGTGCTGAGGCTCAATTTGGTCAAAGCAAATCGCCGCTTGGGAGACGTATAGGCCACCGCGACGTCTTAAGCCAACACCGGGAAACCAGATTGCCTAGCAATCATCACGCCCAATTCCACCACGCGTGATGCAAGTTCAGCAGGTCGGTCATCAAGCAAATAACGCACAGGTAGGTAGTTATCGTTACGTGTCTTTGTCGTGAGGGTGCAGTAAGGACTGTATCCTATAAAAACTGCAACTCCCTCTGCAGGTATCACCCGCTTCTGCTACTGCTTTTTGCTGATGTCTCTGATGAAGAATCCGCAACCGATGCCGGAGTGTCAGGCGAATAAAAGTTTTGTCCCAGTGATCGAATCTTCTTCTTCTCAATTACTTCCTGGAACTCGCATGTTCGCTTGTATTTACGGTTTCACCACCAAATACGATGACTTCCACCGGGCTTCCTACGGCGCGTGGGTTAGTTTACAATGTGACAGGCTTATGCAGCATCTATCGCACTACCTCCCTTCGTCTCACTCTTTATAGATGGCATATCCCTGTAAAAACGACTGGAGGTAGGGTCGGCCGCAGGTGGCTGATAGGGTTAAATAGCCCGTCTACGCGCACCACACGTTGTCCGGTACCCACTACGCGTAACAGCCTTATGTACCGGCAGTCTGGAGTTCAATGCGTGGAAGTGCCATAAAGGCCACCTTAAAAGGGAGCCATTGCAGCTTGATGCTCAGTCTTCCAATCATACTAAAACGGTCGCACGAGAACCAAGTATTGCGTTAGTTGGAAACCTCCCATGCCCAAACTCTTAGCGCGCCGTGGTAGACTCCACTGTGTAAACTTCATTATGGTGAGAAATGCGCTTCAAACTTCATACTCTTTTCCCTCTCCTCGACTCAGCCGAAGTGTCAATGAAGGTTGAGACTGCCGGACGCAGTGAGCCAAACACAAAGTAAACCTTTCCAGTTTTCTTAAAGAGGGCAGGCACTGAGAACTGGCGGGTAGGTAGATCGACTGATAGTGGCCCATCCCTGCTGTCTTGATGGTCATCGATGATTCTGAATACCCATTGAATCACGTCTTAAGAGAGCGAATGGAATACCAAGCTCTTGTAGTGCAACGGAGGGGCGTCATCAGCTAGCAAAGAGGATATCAGTCCCTCAGCTTCTAAAATACCTAGGGGCGAAATTCGAAAGTAGTTAGAGCAGGCAGGATGCGTGATAAATGCCTTCAACTTTTCTAGCACTTTTGAAGACCTCCACTTTCTCAGAATGCGGCCCTCTTAGGAGTTATAATTACATCCGCAATGGCATAATTTTAACCCATACATCAGAAGGCTTGCAGAACCTGTCAGCTAATAGCTTTTTTGCATTTTTAAACCAGCCGTGCCTTAACCTTACATGAATGCATGTAAAACATACAATTGAGATTAAGCCTGAAGCAGTTCAGTCGCGGGTTCACGGGCTGCCGACTGATGCTATAAGAGTTATCACTATCAACCTTGTCGGATTTCTGTGTAGAATACGAACATTCCAGAAAGTCTAGGAGTCTTCATGTCCTAGCCAATTCAGAGAAACCCTGTCAGGCGGCGACCTCGACTTCAGTCTGAGTAAGTTTGCGTAGAAGACACATTGTAGCGTTCAACGTTCTTGGCTGGAACTTCAAACGCATTGCATTAGGCTGTTGTCAAAAGTATGTATAACTATAACCGACCA